ACTAATGGTGAACCTAAAAAGGTTTAGATTTGTTTGTTTACGTGCCTTGTTATACGTGCGTACATCTAGAAATCGTAATGGACTTGTCATCAGTAGAATTTTTATTATCATTGTGTCGATTTATTGCACAACGAGGGGCTCCAAAGGAAATAATTAGTGACAATGCAAATCAGTTCAAATTGGCTAAAAATACTCCAGAATTAATTTGGCGGAAAACAATAAAATGTGATGTAGTTCAAAGTTATGTATCAGATTGTGGAATAAAATGGACTTTTATAGTAGAAAGGCCACCATCGTTTGGAGGATTTTATGAACGATTAGTTTGACTAGTAAAAAGGTCATTGAGAAAAAACATTATGTAACAAGTTGTTGACGAATATTCAGTTACAAACGGTAATCAAAAAAGTAGAAAGTGTGCTTAATTCAAGACCACATGTTTATGTTGACAGCGATATAAATTCAACAATTACATTAACACCTTGACACTTAGTACTTAATCCTAAAATATTTGAAGTTGATGTTGATGAAAATGATCCTGATTATGATCCATATGAACGTTCAGCCAAAAGAATGTTAAAAATATGGAAAAAGGGACAAAAACTTTTGAATCAATTCTGGAAAATTTGGCATAAAGAATATTTGCTAAGCTTAGTTGAACGAACTTAAACAATGTTGAAGTCTCATCACATACAATCTATGTTTCAACCAAATGTTGGTGATATTGTTTTATTAAAAGACGAGATACCAAGGGGATCGTGGAAGCTAGGGCACATTTCTAAACTGGTTATATCAAAGGATGGTGAATGTCCTTCTGCTATGGTCAAGTAAGCGAGTGGAAATACAATTGGGAGACCTCTTAATCAAATTTATCCTGTCGAAGTATCTGGGGAGAAAACAAACGATCAAAAAAGGAAAACAAACATTCAAAAATCTAGGTCCGAACAGCCAGTTCTATCGTCAGAGAAACGTACAAAACGAACAGCTGCAGTAAAAGCTTATGCTAAAATAAAATATTTCTATAAAAAAGTATGTATTATAAATGAAAAGATAAAACAAATAGTGACAATTTTTTTTATTAAAATAATGCTTTCTGTAAAGTGTAGTGTATGACAAATTCTATTAGATTTACTATATTCACTTACTTTATACTTATATTTTTGCTTATATTATAGTTCATAATTAATTTACATGATATTGGATGTTACAATTCAAAACGTTCGAATTTTCAAGAGTCAAAGACTCTTTGGCGAAAATTTTCACGAGTCAGATCATTTTTTTTACTAGTGTCAATTGACTAATTAGTCATTTTTATGTTACAAAAATTACTGTATTGGAGTTATAAATTTCAATATCCCCCCCCCCCAAAAAAAAAATATTAATAACAAAAAAAAAAACAATAAACATAACAAAAAAACAAATGAAACAAAAACAAAATAAACTGCATATTTACTGTGGAAAGAATAAAAAAGCAGCAGCTTTTCTAATTAAATGTATATTATATAAAAAAAATTCTTAACTGGTATGCTATATGATATTAACTTGACATACCAAAATGTACTAGGAATATCTAATGGAAAAAGAAATAACAATTTTACAGGTACGTAAGTCAAGGACGTATTATAAACCTTTAAAAACAATCAATAATTCACATTCTTATCAGTTGTGTAGAGCTATTTTAGCGGTGTCAAATAGCAGCCACTGATGTCGCGGTTCAGTGCACATGCTGTGTGTAAAGTACTTTATACACGGGCTTATACTGCCTGTTGACATTTTTTATTGAGTTCGATCTAAACATTATGTAGGATTTGACAGGTAATTAGGGGTGGCTTTGAGGTTATCATTATTGCATAGCTTCAAATCCCATGTTATATATATATAATATAGCAGCTCTAGATCTTTCTATATGTTTTCCTTTAAATCAAGAGAGTTGCGTACATTCATTCCGCCGCCGATTCTTCCCTACACACAGAGATTTTATGAACGTATATATCTTGTGATTATTTTTTTTCTAATCTTATTCTGTCGTTTAGATCTACTACATCAGTTTTCAATATTTGTTAAGGCGCTCGAAAATGAAATCATAGAAAACTTGATAGCGTATTCATTTATTCTCAATAAAAGTTATCCAAGAAACAAATCATAAGCATGATTTGATTTTATCTTTTAATGCGGAGTCACCCTTTTAGTTTCAAGCTATAGGAATATTGTGATCATCTATGCCCATCAATGTGTCCGTCTTAAACAACATATGAGCATTTACCTATACAGCACATATACGAATCATAACAAGAAAGCATAAATAACGTTTCCCATGTACACAAGCTTCAAGAAATAGTTGATTAATAGTAACAGCAAATAGTGTCCAGTTGTGAACAAAAGTTACACAATGTTTAAAAATTTTGAAACGAAAAGGGTAAAATTAGTTTACACAAAGACTCCAATAAGAAGATGCAAAAAGCAAAAATTGAACAAAAGGGCAAACCTGCAAGATAAACAAGATGTCGAAACATTATATACTGCGCATCTATATTAACGTTTTAAATTTCAGCACGTGTTATTCAATAATTAATTTTATGTTTTTACTTAAAGTAGTTTAATACTTAAAACAAACATATAAATCAGCGAAAAAGGAAACTAATAAACAAACAAAGACACAGCTAAATTACAGTCAATTCTTGTCGACTATAATAATGTTACATTTTACATAGTTCTAATTTATAAAATAAATAAAATGTTTTCTGGAAAAAAAAAAATACTGCCGGTCCACATCTGCCTGACACAGTTTTTTCCTATGATCAGAACATAATCTTTAATATTAGTAAATTATTTGTCTTGTTTTATAAGCTGTTTGTTTTGTGTTTTTTTTTCTTGAACAAATATATCTGCTTACTTAAGCCAAGAAGAACTAAAGTAAAGATAGATTAGGGTTCACCTAGACTCTTAAATAAAATTGTTACTCTTAATATTTCCAAAAAAAAAATATAGAAGAATCATGAAAAATCATCCCAATTTTTTTTTTTTTTTTGCTTAAAATGTTTCTGTTATCATATTCTAACAACATGTCAAGTTTAAAGAAATTCTATAGAACAGTTTTAATTTTGCCTATATGTCTATATGAAAAATCTCGAAAACGTCCTTAATAAAAGTATGTATATCGCTTAAAATACACATTACAAAAAGTAGACGATGAAGATCAATATCAAGATGAATTTCGGAACAATCATTTTCTTATAACAGGCAAAAATAGTAAGATCGAATATATTTTAGAAAATTATCAGATTAACATAGACTAGTAAATGATGTAAAGCTTCTTTGATGTATTTCCTTGTTAATTGCATACTGATCATTTTATCTGTGAACGGATGGTGATATATATGCATATTTTACCAACAAATGTTGGTGACAAAAGCGCGTAAAAGCCACTTTGTTATGGTTATGGTAGGGAAACAGTCAAAGACTTTTAAAGAATGTTGAGTCAGAAAACTTATACATTTAAGAAAGAAAATGTCCCAGTTAGATTTAATGGAAACCTTTTTATTTGTTTTGGTAAAGTCAATCACCTCTTTTGCGATTTTTTTGTTTTACAGTTTGCATTAAGTGGAGGAAATCGAAATACTAATTGTATAAAGAAATTAGTCAAGATTAGTATTTTTATACTGCATCAACGGATGGTTGTTTATGCATATGTCATTTTGTTTGGGTTCATTATGCTGTCTGTACTTTTTTGAAAAATAATTTTGAGTTATATGGTTACCATTGAAAGTGACAGTTTAAAGAAAAATCAAACACATCAGCATATGTAGTCATTCTATTTTTAATGCACTACAGTAAAAACTTTGAAAACCGGACCCTCTAAAAACTGGAAGCCTCTGAAAACCAGATGATACAATTTGTTGTTGTTTTTATATAAAATGTCGAAAAGAATAGAGAAACTTTTTGATTCATGATTCATGATTCATGTTTTGCTTAAAATTTTGATCTTTGCTTGGGTATTAATTTTGTGCACAAATAGAAATACTAAATGCCATTAATTACTTATTTAAGAGTCAGTTAAAAAGATATATTTCAGACAATGTTTTGTTTCATTTTCAACTTTAATAAGTTATACTTAAGGATTTGAAATATGACTATGCCAAAAGGGTTGAAAAGTAAATACAAATGATTGAACAAAGCCATTTTTTCCAAACACATCATAATTATCAATCAATGAATACCTCTGAATACCGGAATCCTCTGAAAACAACTTTAGGTCAAGTCAGAGTTGTTACAGTATTCAATTTTGCCCCTTAATACCAAGGAATTAGAAAATTATGTTCAAGACTTAAAGTGTTAAAAAATATGTGTTTTAATCAAACTTATTTTACGTTTAAAAATCAACAACAGCGAAAATATATAAACATATTGTTTTACATTTATCGCTGTACCAACATATGCATTAAAACTTTAAAAAATACACGTCAGACTATTTATTACACCATATTTAGCGCAGAAAATTATTTGTGAAAATAATTTATCACATTTGAAACGTGGTAAAAAAAACAGGGCTGTACACCGACATGCCGTTGTACTTTACTATCAATCAGAACATGAATTAAAGGTTCGGATTTTATTTTATATAAAGCGAACATGCAACACACATAATATAGCTGTTTGTTATAGAGAAAACAGGCCGTATGCTATATCTGTAATTTGTTACGACAGTGTGATAATTTGGATAAATAAACATTTTTTTAAACTAAAATAAATACTGGTAAGAAAAAATGATGAACAAACCAAAAGTTAGGGTTTGTTTTATATGTTCTTTATTTGCTTTTTTTCAACTCTGTGGTTATATTCATTATCAACGTCAATTTATCGGACATAATCAAAAGTCAGTCAACGCTGGGAAGTATAGTGCTGAATGGACTCGATTTTCAGAAGAAGAACAAATCCACGGCGTCATATCTAATCAATACTTAAACTATTGGAAACATTCCGGTCATGTAAACATTGGAATACAAATGGGTGAGAATCAACTTCATGGCATAAAAAAGGTTATTCCTGCGAAAGGGAATTTATTGGTTTGGGGACTTGGAAATGACAGTCCATATTGGCAAAACAGCACACATGGACAAGTAAAGTTTATAGAAGACGATTCACCTTCAAAAAAGGCCGGGATACAATGGTATGACACAATAATGAAAAAGTATCCTTATTTGGAAGCTTACCGAGTACATTATAACACAAATACTGTCAAATCATTCTCTCAATATGTAAACAATCCGGATACATGGCACGAATTGGATCTTTGCAGTCAGTTACCAGAGTCCGTGACACAAACACATTGGCATGTTATCATCGTGGATGCACCTCTTGGATGCGGATGTCGTGGCCCTGGACGATATCAGTCTATCTATACGTCATGGAAACTCGCTGAAATAAATACACATATTTTTATTGACGACTTTGAGCGAAAAGTGGAACATGAGTTTTCTGTGAATATATTTGGAAAACCGGTAGAGGTACTAAAAAGATCAAATACAAAGTTTTCGAAAGCAAATGAACAAGCACATTTCATTATTAATTCCAGTAATGCTTTCAAACCAAACATAACACGTGCAAACCATTCAAATGAAATTAAATCAAACACCAACATCCATAGATGGAGTTAACTGCTTACTGTGAATAACGGATTTTTTCGATTTGTTAATAACTGGCTATTGCATGACATAAAATTAAATATTTCTTTACCGGTATATGTTATAGCAGAGGATTGTATTGTTTATAGTAAACTTACTGATATCAAGGACAACGACATGACAATACAAAGAAGTGAAATATATCAATCAACGAATCCGTAAATATCGGCGAAGATTTATACAAGAAAATTGTTTCGGCAAGGCCAATATACATATTGTCATATCTAAAGAAAGGAATGAACTACATATATTGTAATGTAGACAGTATTTGGTTAAGGAATCCTATTTGATATCTTAACTGCACTTTTGATATTTTGAGTCAAATAAAATAGGGAATCTGAAACTGAATGCTGACAACCTGACAAAAAGGAAGTGGTGTAGATCTGTTGGGATATCTGCATATTGTTGGTGATACAAAATATGTAATATGAAAACAGATTTTGAAGAAAATCTTTACAAAGGCAAAATATGTGATGCAAGAATTCAGAAAAAGTAAAGTTACCAGATTTTTTCATTTAAAATGAAAGAAAATTGTAGCCCACCGGATCAGTCCTTATCTTTTGTCAGTGGTCAGTCTTAAAAAGTATTTTTTCCAGAAGACACAAGTGCAAATAAAAAAGGCACATTTCACTTTTTTCCACTTGAATTATGTTGGATTAAATTAAGACTGAAGCTATAAAACAGAGTCATAAAAAAGTATGGAAAATAAAGTTAATTCAGGCAATTAATGTTTAAGAGTGCCAACATGACAGCAAGATGTATCTTTTCCTTATTTTGTCAATATTGAATTTTATGATACTTTGGATGAAATGACAATAAAACTGTCAGTGAAAGTAAATTAAGTGAACTTTGATAATAAACAGACCAATTGAAGTGAACTAAATGTGGTAAAGAAGACATTATTGGGTTAACAAGGAGATACCAAAGGTGTAAATGAATATTGTAACAATAAATTACATCTTTATTATTTCATAGACTCTGTGAAAGGATTATAGAGAGAACTTAATTAGAATCATAAGATTATAACGTGTTTTAAATGAAAGAAAGCTGAGAAACGCCCATCATGGGGAAACGTGTATTTGACATTTACATTCATATTATCAATTGTATTTTATAAAAGGGTTAGAAAAGCTCAAGTATTGACATGTAACACCTAAGTAGGTAATCTTCTTTTTAACTTGGTTAACCTGGGAATACTAGATCAATTCATACAACCTTCAGTCCTTAATCTTCATGATTTATCATGAGAGGGCATTGGCAGATAATTCAGTGATAGACTATAGCTCTATTATTTGTTTTCCTATTTTGTAAATATCTATTCCATAATATTGAAATACAACAATAAAAAAATTATAGGACCTTATTTGTTGCATTGTCAACTTTTTATTGTATTTAAACAATTATGCTTCATTCAGTTTTACATAAGAAACAATTATAGTTGTATACCAGGCAAAGCATATTTGAAAATATGTAAAGATAACTAATTGAAGCTATTGTAGCTGTCATCAAACTGCCTAAACAGTTGACAAACCATAAATTCATCTGATATTGCTGTGTTTTACCCTTTACACCTTTGTCTTAACACACTTTATTTGACTCAATTGAAGTACATATGTATCATTTGTTATTTGAAGCATAATCATAAGCACTACGACTAGCATTATTTTTAGCCCAGACAGGAACCCTAGTAGAGCCACCGACATTCCACAAGCTAGCTATTATAGCTTCATAACATGAAAGAATCTAAAGTCCCTGTCAGGATGCGTATCCATAGAGGTAATTGGCTAGTGATTTGAAGTCAACAACCATAACCACTCTGCCAGAGATGTCCCCTGATAAAACTTCACACATTGATAGAGACCATTTGGAAGAATTACAGTGCCCGAGAATCACTACTTTACCTTGTTTAAATTTTTTAGCTAGAATTTTTTTAGGAAAAAAGAAATAGAGGTATTCACTATTGTTGCAGTCATGGCAGCGTTTCCGTTGTTGTCCGCAAACTTAAACCTTAATCATATCAATACTAAGATCCTGCTGCATTGTCTTCATACCTTGCCACAAAATATCTTTGGGCAGAACCTTGAAGTAGGCTAGACACAACTTGACCTTCATTCATAAATGACCCTGACCTTCAAAGTCAAAAGTCCAAATGTTGATTGATTTTGCTATAAGTGGCTATAACTTTGATAATTTTGAATGGATTGTCTTCAAACTTGAAAACAACAATCTTTTAGTATACACCTTTAAGCTAATCAGACACAACTTGACCTTCACTCATAGTGATCTTGAACTTGAAGGTAGGTTATTGCCTTGACTGTCAAGGTCAAATTAATGAAATCCCTGTAACCGGCTATAACTTTAAATGACCTTGACCATCTAGGTCAGATAATTGAATTTCGCTCACATTTTCTTAACTTAGTCAATTATTTATGGAAATGATTCTTAACTTAGTCATTTATTTATGGAAATGATTTATACTTAGACAAAACAAGTGTGACTAGCATCAGTAAAACTACAAAAATGTGCATATTACTAACCTATAATTTTATTAATATTATTATTCAAATATTCAAAATGCTTGATAGCTTAAAAAGAATTTTTCTCTGGGTAAAATGTGCAAATTTCTGTTTTAATGATTTTGCATTAAACTTTGATTGCTACACACCACTGAATAAATTCAAACTGGTACCAGTCATTCGTTATAACATAAGAATTTCAACCAACTGTCAGTACAGATCTGGGGCCGTATTCACAACTGATCTTAAGTTAATTTTTTGACTTAAATATTAGATTTTTCTTATATTTTGAGAAATTATCTTAGATTTAAGATAAGAATCCGCAATTTACTTAAGTGGTATTCACAACTGTTTTTTATCTTAAGTTTTGTCTTAAGATGGACAATTTTTGTCTTAAATATAAGTCAGCTACTACCCTATCTTAAAGTTAAGAAATTTCTTAACTTGGCAGTAAATCATCTTAAAAATGGCGGACGGTAAATCGTCGATTCGATTGAAAACTTGCGTTTTTTACTAGTATTAGATATATCATTGAGGTAATCAACGCCAATAATTACAGCAATAATGATTTCGTCCAAAGTAATTTATACACACGATAAATGTGAGTAAAACAAGGGAGTTAAATCGGCAAAAATTGAAGACGCCAAGGAGACGCTCATTTCACAAACCGGAGTATGATCGTCAGTTTCTTGCTAGTAAGTACTTGTATAGAAAATATTTGTGCACAGAAAAATGTAAAATGTCGGTTTGTGTGTTGTTCTTTGAGAAAAACATAACCGCTAAACGCTTACAAGTGTTTATTTGGAATGTCACTGGTTTTCGCGAGAATCACTTATGGCTATCACAAGCTTGCAATGCTTAGCGGATAATTTTAATTGAATAATTTACATATGCAAATTGATAATGTTCCGTATTACCGATGTGTTTATTGAAAACCTGACACATGCTGAATTGATAATGATTTGCCCCACTGATGATTCGCCCAAGAACGTTTCGCCCCACTTTTTTGATGGTTCACTTCAGATTAGAGACGATTCGTCCTACCTTAGAATGATCCTTTTAAACATCCTTTAGGTTTTTAAAATAAATAAATGAAAAGATGAAATGTTTTTTTTGGTAACCGTTTATTTGTGAAATAAAATGTTCTTTGTATTTAGCAAGTGTGCTACCATACGCGCCCGTACTGGGTGCCAGATTAGTTCTAGCTGTATGTGAGTCACATATATCTAGCCAATACACACTGTTGTGGCTAGCCGTACAGTTGTTTTTCAATAATAGATAAATGCAATGATGAAGTCAGTAATTTGCAGGATAGGCTCTCTTAAATACAGTACAAGATCTATTAAGACAAAATGGAAACTGACATGGGGTGATACACAGTTTAAATTGTTAGGTTTGATATTTGATGTTTATTTAGAAAAAATGATAGAGTTAAATTTTAATGAAAAACTTCAAAAAGTTAAAAATAGTATAGGATACTGGAAAAAAAGAATGTTAACACCTATAGGAAAAATTACTGTTGTTAAGTCATTACTCCTTCCTTTATTCACTCATTGCTTTACAAGTTTACCAACACCTAATTCAGCATTTTTGAAAACACTTAATGACTTATTTTATAAATTTATATGGGAAGGTAAAGCAAAGATAAAGCAATCAGTAGTTATTAAAACATATCAGGAAGGTGGTCTAAATATGATTGATATTGATAGTTATATACATTCTATAAAGATAAAATGGTTTAAAAGGTATGTTAGTAATACTAACAGTAAATGTTATAAGCTAGTGATGGCTTTATTCAATATTGATAAAGTGTTTAGCACAGGTAAATTGTTTTGTAAATTGACAATTGATGAAATTAAAAATGCTTTTTGGATAGATGTTTTAAAAGCTTATATGATTTTTACAGATAAACTTTGTATAGACAGTTTAGAACAAGTGTTACAAATGCCATTGTTTTACAATCATAACTTGTTAGCAGGAAATAGATACTTTTATATCAAAATTTTTTATGAAAAAGGAATCAGATTTGTTAAGGATATTATTAATCCCAAAGGCGATTTTGTAGATTTAACTTACTTAGAGCAGGTGACACAAAAACAAGTAATTTTTTTACAATATCATAGTTTGAAAAAAGCAATATTATTATATACACAAAAGCTTAACATTTCTATTTGTAAAGATTTTATTAATGTTCAATACCCTATTATGAGTTGTTATATAAAACCTATTTTAATTACACAAAATAACAAAAAGTATGTTTATGAAATTCTAGTTAAAAATCAAGATGTACCAACATGTCAAGAAAAA